AATGAACAACATTTGCGAAAGTTGCCTTGCAAAATACTTGATCCTATTTCCTTGGGAGAGGGGGCAGGTGTTGGACTCCCAAAAGGTGATCAAACTATGGCAATACCTGAGGGTCTCACTCTATTTGATCTTGTTGAAAGTGGTATTAGCAACACAAACGCATCTGTTGGAGTGGTTGTTCGTTTGAGGCAAGAATTGTCTCTTGTGAAAGATATGCCTGTTCTTATTGCAATTGACCAAGTGAGAAATTTTTCTTCACCTCTAAAGAACTCCACTTGCGTCCTTATTGTATACTCCGTAACTTGTGCATTTAATCTGACATAGTATAATTTGTGTCTATTGATTGCAGTATAACAATTGGTTTACATTCAGCGAGTACGAGGAACCAGTAACAGTACGGTCTTGCAAACCCATCCATGCTAGGGAACTTACAACTGTAAGATATCTATCTACTCCGTTTTTTATTTCAAGCATACTCAAAAGAGTTCTAAAAATTATTAATTTACTATAGTTTTCACAATTACCTAAGCTTGTTTCGCCATCAATGTATTCATTAGATGTGCCTGTGGCCTAGTAGGCCTTGTCCTGTGGTAAAGAGGTAAAGCTGGTGTGCAAACACTCTGTTCAAGATGTCTTTGTTTATAACTCCATATATGTTATGGAGTATTATTGTTATAACCGAGGCCTTTTGTATGCTTGAAGAAATCATCTTAAAGATTCTTAATGGGCTGGAAACTAAAGAGAATCCTGGTTTATGAACTTCAAACTTGCCTTATGCATTGACAACCAAGATTAACAGCACTTGTCCTTTAATTGTGAATAGTGATGTTGGGTTATCAATTTGATTGGGATTGCGATGAACCATTTTGTAGGTCAATGCATTTAGGTCCATGCTTCACAATGACATGATGGTTGGTGCTTTCTCTCATTCAACTGCAGTAGGGAAACTGCGTCAAGACTTACCAAATGTTCCCACTGATGCCCGATTAAATTTTCCTCGATATACTTTGGACGAAGCTGCTGCTGTTTGTCATTACTATCTCAGGTATGCTTACCGGATTCATGATTGCCTAGTGACAGGGTTGAACACAGACAACATTAGAACTTCTCTGAAATCAACTTCACACTCGTCTATTTGCAGGCAAAGGCTTATACGTCGAGAATCATTCTCAGAAGAAAACTGGAAGAAGATCTACTACCTGTCCAATGGAAATGGAGCAGAGCTGAGATGGCTGGTACCCTTCATGAGATGATGCTTCGAACATTAAAATACAAGCAAATATTTAGTGTGATTCAAACACGGAAGAGGTTTGGTCTAACTATCAACTTTTCATCAGCTTTAATAAGGTTGTGCTGTTCTTTCAAGTACTTGATCTTTACATAGGAATTGCCAAGGTTGGTAAAATTTTGTCCAGTCTGGTGATATTTACTCCCTTAAACATTGTATTATCTTGAGGATGTGAATTATTGAGTATTAATTACTACCTTAAAGCATTGTCACCCAACTGTCCATTTACTTATCATCCACTATTCTCATTATTCTCTATATTTCTCACATAATTCTTACCCAATTTGTGTTGGCTCCAAGATCATCACATAATGTCTGAATTTTTTGGCACTTAAGCTAGCATTGCTTGTCAGTATCCCCACTGCAACTTGGCAGTCTAAATTGAAGTTTCCGATGGCCAAAATGTAGTACAACATATATATTGGTCATGAAGTGATAAATGGACTCTAGTTCTAGAATAAGTCTTGTGTGAGACTGTATTACTGATACTATGAGATATGTAATATTTTTTGAGTGTATAAAAAAGTATTACATTTGAAGTAAAATATATTACACGTCGTTTGTGAGACGGTCTCACATAAACTTACTCTACTAGAAAAATTGAATTCATTATATTCATTTGATTCGTCATTTAATACCTTATCTTGTAATGATGGGTACTTTCATCTCGTGATGATAAATGCATATTTTGGATAACTTTTGTATGATTTTAGTTTATTTTTATACATCCTTGTGTTTATTGAAACTTTGAAAGTGACATGAAATATTTACGTTGAGATCAAATTCTTGAACTTTCAGACGAGGGCGGCGGGTCCGCATAACTTGGATGGTAATTTTATTTTATTTTTATACATTCATATGTTAATCGAAACTTTGAAAGCAACAAGTTTTTAAATGTGTATTACTCCGTAGTATATATATGGTTTGAATATTGGTGTAATGAAAATGGACGGGAAATAGTCATGTTTTGAAAATGACAATGGGCATTAGTATATATGATTTGAATATTAGGCGGCATTTGGTTTAGGTAATATAAGGTTACCTAAGTAATGCGAGTTTGATAATGTTATATTATTTTGTTTGGTTTAAGTTATGAGGTTATGCTACATTGCTACTTCAAAGCTTATGTGGTAGTAATACAACAATTATACAATAAATTCGGCTCTACCTTACAAATTGAATACGCGTTCAAATACATAATTTACATATTGAATGTTCATAATTTTAAATTGTGAACATTAAATATATAAAATTATAAACATTCAGTATGTAATTGTGTATTTTTTACTCGACTCCATCGTGTAATGAATCAAACACTCCTTAGTGTAATGAAAATGGACATGAAATAGTTACATTGTGACCAAATTTTAAAACTTCCACATGAATGCGGGTCCACTTTTGCGCATTAGGTCTTAAACCACTGAACTGATAAGATATTGATAAGAATTGAATTCAATTTATAATTATGAAAATCATGTTCTATCCACTCTCGTTCTTTTCCATTCATGATAGAAAGAGCTCATTTTCGAGTTGCCTTTATAGTGATTTTGTTTTTGTTTTTGTTTTTGTTTTTTTGTTTTGTTTTTTTTTTTTTTTTCTAACCTTACTAATCGGCAACTCCACAAGACACTATAATGGGTTTGGATGGATTCGGAATGTGATATCATACATGGTGTAATCCTATCAAACGTAATACAATTTGGTACATACTCCGTGTCAAATTAGAAGTGATAGTACCAAACTTAGATCATTCCTCAATTCCAACCAAGTTAGTTAGACATCTTTAGTAGTAATTACGAGTTTTATAGTAAATCAATTTTTTTTTTTTTTTTTGAATTGTCTATTGGCCTTTTTGGATATTTTTAAAAAATTGTCTATTAGTCTTTTTGATTTTTTTTAGTAGGCAAATGTAATATTTATAAGGACAAGCGTAATAGTAAAGTACTAATATGGATAAATTGATTGATTGTTTTTTATGCGAAAAAGTATAATACTTATAAAGAAAAGTGTGATACTTTCATAAAAAAATTGTAATATTTTAAAATCAAAAGGTACTTCGTGTTGAAAAAAATGCAAGCTACTCATTAATTATGTGGTGGTTTAACCTTTACCACAAATTAATGAAGGGTTAAGGTCCTTTAAATAATATGAGGCCTAAATTGCTTAGCCTCTGTTATTTAAACAGGCTCTGGGTTTAAACACACTAAGGAAAACATTTCCTTCTCTCTTCTTTCTGTGTCTGCTAGTTAAAGTCTGAGCGATAGTGAGGTTCAGCTACGTTTAAGTTGGTGTGAGTTTAGCGTGGTTATTCTGTGTAGCCTGTCGAAAGCGTACCGATTTGTCGACTGCAACGCCACTAGGCAAATAACGCTTTTAAGGTAGTGTTATTATAACACAGCACAGACTTTCTTTCAGCCATACACCCATTGTGTCCGTGTTTCTTAAAAGGTGTCCAGCTCACGCGTTGACGTTGCGAATATTTTTCATCAGTTAAAAGTGTTACATTAGCATCAGTCAACTACTCGAACCATGGAGCAGATTATAATATTTTTTTGGCAACATGATGGTGTAGCAACAACAGAGATTAGCAGTGGAAGGCAGCAACTTCATACAGAACAATTCTGGTAAAGCACACTGCTTCAACTTATGTGTAACCTTTAAGCAAGGGAGTACAACAGAAATAATTATTGGGTTCATATCAGAGCTTTTACCATACTCCGATGAGGTTTGTCTCCTCATATTTTAATATGACACATGCATATTTATATAATAATAAACTATCATATGCAAATGATTATTTTGAGCACAAGTAGTCATATATTATTGGGCATTGACCATATTTTCTTAAAACTATCATAATGGCATAATTTAGAAGATGGTTTGCATATATCTTTGCATCCATTCGATTATTATGTTTTGAGAGCATTTGAAACGTGAAATATATATTTTGACAAGCATTTTAGAAATCATCATTTCATATTTGATACGGTGAGTGCTTTAAATATTATAGAAAAAATTAACAGCGGTGTACACAAGGATAAGTGAATTGTTATTATTCAAATGGATGAGGTTTATGATTTTGTTGTGTTAGAAGAGTTGATTTAACACTACTGCTAAGTGATTAAATCATCAATTTGATTTAAAGCTTATAAATTATGTATTTATGTGTTATATTGCGAATATGTTACAAACATTGCACTATTTGATGAGATACATATATGCTTTACAGTCACTTAATCTTAAATATCTTAATTATGTACCGAGACTAAGTTTCAAGGCTTTACTCACATTGTGGTGATAGCATGGAAAAGTCATCCTTCTTGAATACTCTGTCTAGGAAGATGGTTTTTAAGTAAATTTCGGTTTCACCACTCGACCTGGGAGTTTTAAAGAAGTAGGGTGTTGATTATGTAGGCTAGTTAGAGCGTCACTTGATCTTCACCTGAAATGAGGTTGACTTTCATATGTTGTTAAACAATCAAAGCCTTGCAATAGAAATTGTTGACGTACTGCATTAGTAATATTGATCTGCATCATATCAATACTTTATATGAGTTTTTTAATTTCCTCAAGTGAAGGAAAAGTTGTCCAGGTGGAATAACTTTGAGTATTAAAGTTATACTTGTTGAATTGACCGTATTGAAATATATTCACTAATAAATGTCAGTTTGAACATATTCTTTGCGTACGAGATTAACTTCTTTTAAGAATATTATGTGAAATTTGTGATTATGTTGTCCAACTTGAAGTAGCATACAGACAACATTATCCATGTGGCTTACAAACAATGAGCATTTATATATATTATTTAAATTTTTGGTTGACTCATCATGAAAGACCTATAATTCCTATTTAAAGGGTAATTATGATGGGTCAAGATAACCAAGTTTGTTGAAATATATTCAATTGAGTATGAATCAGGTAGAATACACTCTATAATGCTTCACAAAGCAAATTTGCAAAACTCAATCTACAAAGGAGCTAATGTTGGGCACCAAAGATCAATCGAGGTAGGAGATCAAATATCTTTGAGAAAAATATTTGTAAGTGTTGCATTGTGGGGGTATTTAACTCTTGATATATTTCTTTCTTAAAAGTCTCTCTGTGGTACCAACAATAATGGTAAAAGAGAATATTTCATGTTGAACATGAATATTTTAAGGGAATTATTTGTGAGTAAATAAAGTAATCGTCGTAAGTTTGATCGAGATGATCAACTTACTTTAACAGAAATGACTAATTATGAGGTTAGTCATTGAATTATTGGAATGACTTAAAGCCCAAGAGGTATGAATTCATGGTGGGTCTCACTTTTGTGGTCAAACGAAGCCATGCAAAGAATCACAAAATAGTACACTAATTGGTCATTCCTACAATGTGTGTACTTGTGAGGTTGAGCTACAGCTCTTAATGAATTCATAACCCTATGAGAAGGGTAGTTTTGTTGAGGCAGACCTAATGAATTCACCGCATAATGCTTGAGTACAAAAAGTGTTCTTAATGATTTGTATACTTAATTGGAAAGTCTATTTTGAGGTAGACCTAACGAGACCCCTGACTTGAATGAAAAAGGGTTAACCGCCTTAGTCGATATATACACAACCCAAATGATACTCACTAGAGTGCATTGGGACGAGTGCTTCGGTACCTGAGAGGTACCATAGACTGGGGACTAGACTATGTAGGGTTCCCAGTAGTGATAGAAGGGTTTTGTGATGCAAACTGGGTGAATGACATCGAGGATGTCAGTTTAACAAGTGTATGCGTGTTTCTCATGTGTAGGGCAGCTGTATCGTGATAGTCAATGAAACAGTTATGCATTGCCAGATCAACTATGGAAGCAGAGTTCATAGCGCTTGATCTAGCCAGCCAAGAGGCTGAGTGGCTAAGAAATTTATTTGCAGATGTGTCATTGTGGGGGTGTCCAACACATGCCGTGCCCATATGCTGTGATCCCCAAACCGCCATTTGTGTGGCAAATGGCTAAAGATTGATCACAATAGAGTTCGTGATGTCTGAAAAACCCTTTCACAAAAGGTCTAAATTAAACCATCATTGAAATGTCAAGGGAGATGGAGTTAAGACCACTGAAGTAAGGAGTTCATGACGGATACCACTTCTGTGGTCAAACGAAATCATGAAAAGACTTACACTTGATTTATGTCTTTAACCAGTCTGTAGCCTTTAAAGGAGATCTATACTGAGATAGACTTGACAGAGTTAAAAGTCTATATTGAAATAGACTTGACAGACATAAAAAGTCTACAATGCGATTAGACTTGCCAGAGTTAAGAGTCCATATTAGGATAGACTCTGACATGGTAGAAGTTATATTGAGACAGACTTGAATACTAAGGGTATTCATAAGAAGTCAAAGAGTTTGACTTTCGTAGAACCTGTTTTTGAGTTAGTGTGTGCATTAGAGTTCAAAATTTAACTAACCGATGAGTTCAAGATTCATATCACTCTCGGAAAGAAAATTACTTAGTGTCACTATGTGTTAGTTCAAGTTCACAAACACTGACATTATTAAGATCAACTCATTTGTATTGCTCAGACATTTTTTTTTTTCATTCCCTTGAATTTGTGGAGGATTATTGTTGGGAAAAAATGCAAGCCACTCATTAATTATGTGGTGGTTTAACCTTTACCACAAATTAATGAATGGTTAATGTCCTTTAAATAATATGGGGCCTAAATTGCTTACCTCTATTATTTACGCAAATTATGCTATGCAACCGAATGCACCTTGCAAGGTGCATACGGTTGCAAAACGGCGTCGTTTTGGTTAAAAAAACGCGCGTCCCACTTAAAGATGAAATCAGGTTCGATTCCCGGCAATAGCATTTTTATATATCCAGAAATTCATAACTATATATCCAAAAATTCATAAATATATATCCACAAATTTATAACTATATATCCACAGTGAATGAATGAAGTAAAAATCCACAATGAATTAATGAATGAAGTAAAAATCCACAATGAATGAATGAATGAACTAAATATCCACAATGAATGAACTAAATATCCACAATGATTGAACTAAATATCCACAATGAATGAACTAAATATCCATAAATTCATAACTATATATCCAGAAATTCATAACTATATATCCATAAATTCATAACTATATATCCACAGTGAATGAATGAAGTAAATATCTACCATGAATGAACTAAATATTCACAATAAATGAACTAAATATCCATAAATTCATAACTATATATCCACAAATTTATAACTATATATCCAGAAATTCATAACTATATATCCACAATAATGCTATTGCCGAGAATCGAACCTGAATTTTTTTTTTTTAAAGTGAGACGCGCGTTTTTAGTCAAAACGACGTCGTTTTGCGTCGTATGCACCATGCGCATGGTACATTCGGTTGCACGGCATAACTATTGTATTATTTAAACAGGGTCCTGCTTTTGAGTTTAAACACACCAAGGAAAACATTTTCTTTCTCTCTTCTTTCTGTGTCTGCTAGTTAAAGTCTGAGCAATAGTGAGGTTCAGCTACATTTAAGCTGGTGTGAGCTTAGCGTGGTTATTCTGTGTAGCCTGTCGAAAGCGTACCGGTTAGTTGACTGCACTGTCACCGGACAAATAACGCTTTTAAGGTAGTCATGTTATTATAACACGGCACAGACTTTCTTTCAGCCATACACACATTGTGTCCGTGTTTCTTAAAAGGTGCCATGCTCGCGCGTTGACGTTGCGAATATTTTCCATCAGCCACCACATAATTATTTGTGGTAAAGGTTAAACCACCACATAATTAATGAGTGGCTTGCATTTTTTCCAACACTTCGTAATATTTAGAGGTTGAAAAGTTACTTACGAGATAAAGTGCAATACTTATGAGGAACTGAGTTAGTCTCGCGAATGATTTGTGAGATAGTCTCATAGGAGTTTTTGCACTAACCCTATAATATTAGTTGTTAATTATAATAGGACACTCCTAGTCGAGTTGATCGGATTGCTATCTATTGATATTCTCTGTTTGAGACAGTCAATTATGAGCAACCTAAAGATGAGCTTCACCAAAACACACTTTCAAGTAATGATTGCTATTTTTTTCGTAAATCAAATATATAAAATTAGTTAAATGGTTAAAGGCATTAAATTTTATTTTTTTTTTAATTTTTTTTAATTATTTTATTTAGTGAAGAGCCATTCCGTTCTCGGCATATTTGTTACGTAGCAAAAAGCGGCAACCCCCACCCATACTCCTAATCTCTACTCTGGCGTATATACACACACATATATATATACACACGCAAACACACAGACATACATACACACTAATACTACTAATACTTCATTACTTCCCTATTGCATTTTTTTTTTTCTTTTATCTTCTTTTGTGGTGTGATATTTTAATCAATAAAAAAGTAGATATCATTGGCTAGGGTCATAGATTTATCTCATGCACACCCTCGAGTAATGAAATTTGCTTCGTAACTTAGAAAAAGTAACATTTGTTATTTATATACTTTTCTTTCTTCGGTCAATACATATGATAGGAGTTTTTACTTACTTTTCTTCCTCCGGATAATATATGCGATTGGGGTTTCATTTTTTTAGAATACACTTATTATTTTCTTAATGATAAGTGTAATGTGCCACTTCAATTGTAAAGTGTTTAGTTGTTTTAACCCCTAACTATTATGGGTAAGCAAATGTTACACTTCATTAGCTAGGCCTGTGTTTCATAAAATCATCATGTTATTTTAGTGTGCTTACATGGTTAGTAAAAGAGAAAAATATCACAAGTTGGTGGAGCATGATTCTTGTATAAGTTACGAGTTCAACTATTGTCAAGTTGTCAACACGTACTCTTTCGATCAACCTCGTCGACGCGAATATATATAGAATCTTTTTAGTGCAGTTTACATTTCTTGTGTGATTTGTGAGTTATTAGTATATGGGCGGAGTTTACTCATTACACATACTCGAATAGTGACAGTAAATTTTCATTTTTATTTAAAAAAAAAAAAAGAAGAAGAAACAGGGTCCATACATACATACTCTAAAGTAGTTGTCGTAAGTTTTTCCGGTTTAAAAAAAAAAAAAAAAAAAAAGGGAAAAAAAAGAGCAATTCTAAAAGAATTGAAGACTTTTTTCCTTTGTGTTTTCATTCACACTATGAATTTCTCTTAGGTAGTTTTTCCATTTAAAAAAGGCACCCCGGAGTGAAAAACACGAACAAATTTCCTTCCTTTATATACTCAGCTTTTATTCAGGTAACGTAAAAGCATTAAAGTGCACATAGCATATTGCCTCCAATTCCCAAGCTCCTCCATTTCCACCACCCAACCACCTCAACATCACCGTCGTCCCCACCGCCACCGGAACACTACCCTCCATTAATGGCCGCCCTTCAATGGCTAAGCTTAGTCGCCGCCATATGGCTCCAAGCCGTGAGCGGAACCAACACCAACTTCCCCGTCTACTCCTCCCGCCTCAAGCACCTCCTCTCCATTTCCCAAGTCCAGCTCAACAACCTCGCCTTCGCCAACGACGCCGGAAAGTTATTCGGCTGGTTTTCCGGCATTGCCGCGCTCTACCTCCCCCTCTGGCTCGTCCTCCTCCTCGGCTCCTCCCTCGGCTTCGTCGGATATGGCGTCCAGTACCTTTTCCTCGTCGGAAAAATCGCGTACCTCTCGTACTGGCACGTCTTCGTCCTCACGGCGCTCGCCGGAAACAGTATCTGCTGGATTAACACCGTCTGTTACATCGTCGCCATCCGGAATTTCCCGTCGGACCGCCAGGTGGCGGTGGGGATTTCCACGAGCTATGTCGGGTTAAGCGCCAAGATTTTCACGGATATCGTGGAAGCTGCCATGAATGTATCTTCCCCTACTGACAGAGCCCACGCTTATCTCCTCCTTAATTCCCTCCTGCCGCTAATAGTCGCCGTGGTTGCTTCTCCCATCGCCCGGGAAATCAAGATCGGAGTATCCAGACGGCTCGCCGGAGGGTTCAGTGTAATGTTCGCGATCACCATAGCCACCGGCGTGTACGCCGTGATCACAACCACCTTGGGTTCGGAGATTTCAAGGAAAAAGTTGCTAAAACACCTGAGTTTCGCAGGTATGGCTGTGCTGTTATGTCTGCCAACGTTAGTCCCTCTGGGTCAGAAAATCACGGAGCTCTGCCGGAAAAAATGTCCGATAAGACCCAAAAATCAGGTCTGCGATCACCAGGGTTCTGATTTTTCCGTGGGAATAGAGGGTGGAGAGGTGAAAGAAGAGGAACAACAATCACAATCTGTGATTGTTGTTGTGGAAGAAGTGGAATGGAAAGATTTGGTGAAAAGAGGAGATTTTTGGTTATATTTCTTGGTTTATTTTCTTGGTGCGACTCTGGGGTTAGTGTACTTAAACAATCTGGGTCAAATCGCCGAGTCTCGTGGCTTCTCCAATGCTTCTCTTCTCGTATCACTGTCGTCTTCATTCGGATTCTTTGGGCGTCTCCTTCCATCGCTTTACGACTATTTCTTCTCAATGTATGTAAACACTCATCCCTTCACTCCATTTTACTTTTAAAAAAAAACCATATATTATATTAAATACCTATAGGCTATAGTACTTGTGCTATATGATTGTACTAGATCATATTGGCATATGTGATATACTAGATCATATTGGCATATGTGCTATACAAGATTGTATCTTGTAATGTGACATCGATGTTATAGGAGTGTACTTCATTCATTTGCATCGGTGTTAGTAGTACTTAGTGAGGGTGTCAAAGTGGGTTGAACACGCGAGTCGATCAGCTCGCATTCACCCCACAGTGGGACATGTTAAAACAATGAAAATTTATGGATTGCAAAAGTATGGGTCGAACTCACATAAGCCCGCAATTCAGACTTGTTGACCTGCGTGGGCTGCAAGTCAAACTCGTTATATATCATCAATGCAAAGTATGCCGTGAAACCGTGTTCAACTTCCAAGGTAAACATGATTCCAAAATTGTTCATAATTATGAATCTATAGTTCAAAAATTATGAACATATAATTCTATAATTATGAACATAGAGTCGTGAACACAATTATGAACATATAGTTCTGTAATTATGAATATAGAGATTCAATAATTGCGAATATTAAGTTCAAAAATTATGAATATATAACTTTATAATTATGAACATATAGTTCAGTAATTATGAACATAGAGCTCTGTAACTGTGAATATAGAGTTCAATAATTATGAATATGCAATTCAAAAATTATTAATATACAACTTTATAATTATAAATATATATTTTCAGTAATTATAAACATAGAATCGTGTCCACCTTCACAGCATTAACGTGCAATACTATAGTCGTCGTTCTCAATTATGGATCAATTTCTGAAATATTCTTTCACTTGATCATTTTAGGTCCAAGAACAAGATTTCGAGGCCGGCAAGCATTGCAGTGATGATGGCGCCGATGTGCGGAGCTTTCTTCTTGCTTCTCCACGGCGGCCATGGCTGCCTCTACACCAGCACCGCCATAATAGGGGTCTGCACCGGCGCAATCACCTCCGTTGCCGTCTCCACCACCACAGAGCTCTTTGGGGCCAAGAATTTTGGCGTCAACCACAACATTTTGGTGACCAATATACCCATCGGCTCCTTCATCTTTGGGGACTTTGCAGCTTATGTTTACAAGAGACAAGGGAGGATTTCTGGGGGCAGTGACGGAATTTGCACAGGCATGCAGTGCTTTCACACCACTTTTGTCGTCTGGGGTTGTCTTTGCTTTTTTGGTACCTGTTTGGCTGTTTTGTTTCATAGTAGAACTCGAAGAAATTAAACAACAGCCATCATTAACTGTTGTTGTTAAGATCAGACCAAACTAACTAACTAAAGTTGGCTAGAATACGTTTTGTCTTAATTGCCCTGATAATGACGTCTGTAATCTTGCTTAATTTGGTGGATTTGCTACTTGAGAGAGGAGAGATGGGAGTATTATTATATTAGTAATTAGTAATAACTAAATCGGTCTGTACTCATCAATTACACTATGGCTAGATTATATTTATCCAGCATATATACCCTAACATAGTTATTACGAGTTTTTCTTGTTACCTCCAAAAATTGTAGTCATCAGATCAACACCAATTTATAGCATTAAATGAAATTTTATTACTTAATTGTACTATCTTCCTAACTATATTCTTGTGAATTACTCCGTATATTACTTTTGAAATGACGGTGAGAAAATTTTATTATAAGATTCTCATTATTATTTACTCGAAGCAATTAGAGAAAGTATGAAAAAAGAATGGATCGATTAGATATATTTGTAGAGAATTTACATGGCATTTGATTGGAGGGAATTTAAATTTCATTCTTACTTAATTTTCACATAATTTCAAATGCCACTAAACTTCTTAGTTTGGTTAGAAGGAATTGTAATTCCCTTATTTTCATGGAATTAAAATCCCATGCCCCCCTTGAGATTTTAATTCCATGAATTTTGAAAAAAAAAAAAAAAAAAAAAAAAAAGAAGATAATGATGAGACAAAACTATCCCTCCCCTATTTTAACTTAAACCAAACACTTGAATTTAAATTCTCATTTTATTCCCAGTAATTCATCTCTCATGAAATTGCAATTCCTTTTCCACGTAATTTCCTCCCTCCAACCAAACACCCCGTTAATCGTTTTCTCTCCAATTTTTTTCTTTCCTTTTTTTTTTCTCATGCAAATCAATAAATAGAAAATCTTGGAGCAAATACCAATATTAGTCCCACGAGTATTAGCAAAATGACAGTTTTGGTCCACATGTTTAATTCATACCAATTTCCATCCACGACTATTGTTTTAGTATCAATTTTCATCCACGACTATTATTTTAGTGCCAAAATTCATCACGCCGGTCACACATTCGTTTAAGACATGCCGAAATATAAAATTATTGAGGGTATTTTCATCATTTTCAAATTAAAATCCCAATTTGAGCATGAATAAAACGATTTAAGCCCTAAAACTTATCCCAATTCACAATTCTCCTCCTCAAATTAAGGTAGGATGAGGAGAATAACTACTATTATTTGAGATCGATCTTAGGCCTTAAATCGCTTTATTCATGCTCAAATTGGAATCTTAATTAGTTGAAAATGACGAAAATGACCTTAAAATTTTTAGATTTCGACATGTCTTAAATGGAGTGATGACCGGCATGATGAATTTTGGTATTAAAATAATAGTTGTGGATGAAAATTGGTACTAAAACAATAGTCGTAGATGAAAATTGATAGAAATTAAACATATGGACCAAAATCGTCATTTTGTTAATACTCATGAGACCAAAATTGGTATTTACTCAAAAATCTTGTGTAATTTAATTATAGTAGTGTACATATTGTATTGATAACTAATGGAACCACAATTTCTTCCGTCCTTATACCATAAATTAGGATTCACGGTGCACTGTAGACCTTGGTGCATGTGTATATGTTTTATATTGTAAAATTTTGTGTCTTGTGTTATGAAATTTTGTATTTTAAGAGTATGTATTATGTACCTAAAACAAATTAATAATTGTGTCTTATGTTATGAATTTTTGTGTGTTGTGTTGTGAAATTTTGTGACTATAAATACAAATTATGTACCTAAATCACATTTGAAAATAAGTAAATATATAACATGTGTATGTGTCTTGTATTGTGATTTTTGTGTCTTGTGTAATGATATTTTGTACCTTACGAGTATGAATTTGTATCTCGTCATTTTAATCTAGAATCCATAATGCTATGTGACACTGGTCCATGATATAAATTGTCAAATTCCCTGGGCAAGGCTTCAAATTGTATCATCTTTGTCCATCGGATGTATTTTGTTGTATAACTCTTGACTAACTAATGATTAAGTTAGGCTTAGACTAATATAGTCAAACTGTGGTTGAATTTAATTTAGAAAAACTCTCAGGACACGTAATAAAAGCATATTATTGTTTATACGCAACGTAACATTTACCTTTCTATATATTCATCGACCGTTTGGCTTGGGTTCATGGTTGGCTTCACACATGCTAGATACACTACTTTTCGATCAAATTCTCTAACTCGTCGTTCAAGTTAATATAATTGTGCTATCTTTTGATTTTTGGCCTCTTTACTTTAGTCTTCCATTCCTTGCCTTTGTGGTTATTCACACTATAATTAGTGAATAGATATGTTTTCAAGTATTTATATGTTTTGCCGATAAATTTTACGTACAATTTTTTTTGAATGATAATAGAAATTTGTAATTACTATTTTAAAAAAAAAAAATAAAATGAAGGGAGAAACTCGAATAGGCTGCTATTAACTGTTCACAAGAGTCATACAATTATGTGGGAGTCCCAGAAGGTCTTCTTCAAGAAAAGGTCGCAACTCTTTGGAGGATCATGAAGGTCCATCCACTGGTTACCTTGGTTGAACACCATACTTACCAGTCTATCAGCCGATCGATTTTGCTCCCGAAACACCTACTTAAGTGTGCATGGGATAAATATCACAAGTGTTTGATAAGTTTTACAATTCTATTAAGTGTCGAGTAGGTGTAGTACAGTGTGACTCTCGCACCTAAAAGTCATGAGTTCGATTCTTGTCAATATTTTTTCCATCGAAAATCAGGTTTACCTCACCTCTTCCTGGCTAGTGGGTTATTGCATCAGAGTGCACATCTTCATATAGTGATTATAAATTTTCAAAGTGGTATTGGGTCTTAAATCCTAAAAGAGAACAGTACAATTGGGATTCTTCATTCAATTAGAGAAAAGTTGGTCGTCCATGTGTGTTCCGCAAGGGCAGACCAAACTAACCACAAATGTCTCCCGGCTAGTGGGTTATTGCATCAGAGTGCACATCTTCATATAGTGATTATAAATTTTCAAAATGGTATTGGGTCTTAAATCCTAAAAGAGAACAGTACAATTGGGATTCTTCATTCAATTAGAGAAAAGTTGGTCGTCCATGTGTGTTCCGCAAGGGCAGACCAAACTAACCACAAATGTCTTTGCACAAAGGAATTCTTTGCAAGCACGTACAATGTAATTAATGTGCCAATTAATAATTGGGTTACGTTGCATTTTGTTCCCATCAAAGCGCAGAGATTGCGGCAAGATTCATGACACGGTAAAATTAACGTTATATTGCTTCGTCAATGCTTATGTCTTATGTAATTATATCTATGTATCTGTCAATGCTTTTATATTCGGTCTTGTGTCTCGTCAACCGGTCTTACACAGTGTCAAAGAGACATAATTTAATTCCCACTGTGACGGACTTGAAGGGTTAGTGGCATATATATATGATCCAATTCGATCTCTTAAGTCTTAACTATGAGAAATCATGGCAATTGTGTGGGGACCTTAGCTTCAACCCGACTTCGTCAGTCTCACTCTCGTAGACTTAAACCAAGTGTTTAAATTGAGATTTTAGTTAAGCAATTAAAAAATGATGAGATTACATGCAAATAAGTTCAATGCTGTTTATTTATAGATGAAAAGCATTTTTTTTGTATTTATTTGTTGTCCCACATTGATTGCCTAACTTAACACATTCTAAAGGACTTGAAAATGTATAGAGAGGAAATAAAAAGAAATTACATTCGCATTGCCGCCGCTTGGCTCATGAGCGAGGTGTGGTCAATTTTTTGGTCTACATAATTATTTTTAACCCTTATTTTTGCAAATCTTCTACTTTCTTGTCCGTAAATTCTTCTATAATAAACTTTTACATGTCCATGTTCTGCTAACCTGCGTTCCCATTTTTAATATCACTCTAAAAATTAGCCATGCAGAGCCAATATATCAAATCTATATTTATATAATAATAGATTACATTACAGTATCTATTCATCTATATCTATATTTTAGTCAACACCGCTTCTACTAAGGCTCAATCTCATAACCTCCCATATAGAAGAGTCACTACATGTCATCTAAGCACAAGGTATTTTGTCTTATTTTTAATTTGATAGTATATATATATATATATATATATATATATATATATATATATATATATATATATATATAATAGAAGTGCCTGGAAAGATTTTTCTCCCAAAATTTAAGGGCATTTCTGTAATATCAATTATTTAGATAAAAATGTCATTTAAAATTAAAATTAATTATATTTTTCTTTCATATGGTAATTTTATGTTAATTTCAGCTTGGGTTTTTTTTTTCTCTTTTTCTTTTTGTAAAAATAAAACTAATGTATAAAAAATATGACATCCATATTGATATATTTTAGGTATATAAAGTCATTACTTTAGTATTTTGTTTTTTTTTTTTTTTGAATGCTACTAACTCAGTTAACACTGCCTCCAATGAAGCTCGATCTCATGACCTCCCATATGGAAGAGTCACTACATGTCGTCATCTGAGCACAAGGTATTTTGTCTTATTTTTAGTTTGATAGTATATGAAAAATATAAATACAAAAATAATAAAATCGTTAAAAAACTCAAACGTGATAAAAATAAACTATAGTTAGCTGGGAAGTTAGACGACAAGACAAATTGTGTTACAAATTTCATAGTCATGCTCCTAATTAGAAAATGTTAATAGTCAAGGACCAAATGTGGTTCATGTATAATAATCAAGGGACCAAAAGTGAAACTTTTCTAAATATTATGTACATAGTATGAGATGAATGTTATTAAACATGATGTGGTCTATAGTAATATTTATATACATTAAAGTATTAAACTTTGTTTTTATGAACATTATGAACCTACTATAGAGTGAATGTAAATACATGAGTATTGTACAGAATGAATATTACTATCCATGGTGCGTTCATAATATACTGTCTATGTACATTAACCTTTATTTTTATGAATATTATGAACCTGATGAATGAAAACGCATATAATGTATATTTAGGTTTGTGTTTATGGACACTAAGATTTGATTTGTGGACATATAAAACAAATATTATGAACATAGTCTATGATAATGTTATTAAATATGATGTACTAATTGACATTTGATATAATACGATGTCGTTTTGGACTAAGATCCACCATGGAAGGTGACCCTGGTCCACCATGGAAGCAACACACATGGCCTGCATTTACTAAAGAAGTATATTATC